CTTAACTACATTTTTGTACTTACTACTATTAGTAAGTAGTATAAATTTGTATCGGAAATTTCAGTTTACAGAAGATGGAAGCGATTTTTAGAAATCGTTTCAATTAAAAAGGCCAGTAATCAGTAAATCGTCCACAAAATATATTAATATGCAATACCTTTTATATTTAGTTAAACAAAATTTTACAGATCATTTTGTTTTAACAAAATTAAGTGATCTCAAAATAAACGGATCAATCTGATTAAATGAAGAGACTGAATATTTTTCAGCCTTTGGTTCCATTAAATTAGTGTGCTCTGAGAATTTTTCTGTATATTTTCAACAAAAAAATAAATTGAAATAATTATGTAATGGTTTTAAGTAGACAAAGTTAAAACTAAGCGAAAAAATTCAAAATGTTAAACTATATAGACATTATAAGCTTGATCTTAAAAAATAGATATAAGCTATCCTGGTGAGACTATAATTTATGAACGACCTTTGAGCGACGCTAGATCGACCTTGAGAGTGTCCATCCAATAACTAGGAACAAATGAGGGTTATAAATTAGTGTGGGGAATTCGAACTATAATTTACAGTTGACGGTTAAAGTAAGGAATTAAACTTGAAGTTTTTATCACGAACTGACATCTACCATAATGCCAAGACTCTATTTAGCCAAATGGGTGTGCGAATTTCCCACCAAAATTCGAGACCTGTTATCTTATACTTGACTGGTTCGTCCACAAATTGTAGTCTCGCTGATATCCTTTCTAGTGACCTAGAGAGAGCAATGTAATAAAATTAAATGAGGGACAGTTATCTTTCACACCTTACTTCATCTTATTTTGTTGACTTAACATTTAAATCGTTACACAACATTAGTGTGACGTTTCAAATTTCTGAATACTTATTTTTCATTTTTCAACAGACAAATATATCTGATAAAGCAGTATAAATATGATTACGCAGCTCCGGTAAATGATCTAATCACAAATGTTCTTGGTTGTATTGTCTTTATTTCTTCTCCAATCAGTTGGTGAAATCTAGTTAATTATGGTTAAACAGAATCAGTAGAAAATTCTTTCAGTTATCTAAAAGAATAAGGTTTGTTGAAACTGTATTATTATCAGATGTGATTATCGGAGATTGCAGAAGTCCACTGATTCTAAGGTGAATCTAATATCCAGAAGAATTGTTAGATTTAATTTCATACACTTTTGCCGTTTTGATTCATGTCTTAACAACTTTCGTTCATTTACTGTCGAAAATGTTTGAGTATCTATATACTATCCTTATTTTTGTATGAAAACCTTCTTCATTTGAATCATTGATCTGGAGCTTTGAGTCTTGAAGCCTTAAGCGACTTTTTAATCGTTTTCATTTTGAGAGGTAAATGGTATTACGATGGTTTATTTAAATTTTTAAGCCGTTTGTTTTATAACTTTAAAGTTATTGCAGTAAATTTCGTACTCCAAATTTATTTTATAGAGGTAATAGAGTCACATGCTGTGAACATAAAGTCTACAAACTACCATGATAATAAATATTGTACAATACCTACAGAAACGATAAATTTTGTGGTACAGAAATGTTCGAAAACCCACCAGGTTGAAGATGTTTGACGGATTAGCACTTCTGGAATGTATTTGAAAGCATTTTTTTTGAAAAATTACAAACGAGACGTTAAAGTGAAATTCAATATGTCTTTTCTGTTTTCAATGTTATGTTCTAAACATTTTCTAACTTATTTAGGCTAGACACTTGTTTGATTACACTTGATTCTACTCCATAGTGTGGTGTACAGTTTCTTTGCTTTCTGTTAATATCAAATTAACTGACTAATCATGAGTTTATTGTGAAATCAGTACTGTACATATAAATCTCATCAGTTGCTGGTTGTTCTAAGACATTAACATGTAAACATGTATTGTACTGGAAAGAATGATTTATGGTGGTAGATTGGGTTATAGATTTGACACAAAGTCGTAGATATAATTAGAAAGTGAGAGAATACATCAACTTCTGACCTACGAAATCGCGTCCAATTCACTGAATAAACAGATACGGACGATCTCAGTTAAACAACCATCGGAAAGCAGAAAGCACTAGACGGTTGTTTGTCCTATCGTTGGACACCTTATCCACTAATCCACCTTGTTTTCAATGGTTATCTGTCTAAGGTCAATCACTAATGTTATTTACGAAATACGACAGTCATCATAATCTCCCTTTTGTAATTAACGAAAAATTATATTGAAGAAATATGAATTGTATAGATAGTCATTTATGAACTTATAGTCACATAAATCATAAGTGTGATTTCAGTCCAACAATTGTGATTAAAATTGTATTAATTTGACTTGTAGAGAATAAAGGAATATTATAGAAAAGGTTTGATTGTAGATTAGTATTGTGGTTATTTTAACAACATACATTCTGAAAAATAGTTCGAATGAATCCCGATAGTTCGATAAATGTACTGGACACTTTTCACGGTTATTATGTGTAACTTCAATGAATAGATGAATTACTATAATCTTTTTAATCAGTTTGTCCTTTACATGCGTGTATAATAGAACGTACGCGTCAATGTAATTACTTGTATATTTTATGGTTAGAACTACTGAGTCGTGTTGTAATTAAATGGAGTAGGCTCAGAAGCTCTTCTTCATCTTCCATATCTTACTGTCCGTTTGAATATCCGAATGTCTGAAATAAATTCTTACATCTCAATTCGTATTTGTCTTTTATTACCACCGTTGTCCTAACAAGGATAGACTAAGTATGATGCACAAAATTTGACGAACTTCCGTTTATACTTCACTCATCGTGCTTCATAATCGAGTGAACACATTGTCACAAAATAAGTATGTTGTAGAATGAAATACGAGTATTCTTGAAAGATTTTTCAGATTGATTAGTGTTGTCAAATCGATATTGACATTCAACAAATTCTTTGATTTCAGGAATTTACACATATCAGATTATCACTGTTTTTCAATATACATTCCTTTTATAGCTATATGACCGGATGCGTTTTCTTCTCTCAGATTATTTTAATTGGATGAAATTAAAAATGAGAAGTAAGGGAAATTAATTCTCAAGAACGACTATAACTCCATAATAAAATGTAACAAAACGTCAATATTACATTTTATAGTTATAAGTCTATTCGGATTTTATGATGCTTGAAGATAAGAAATTTCTGCAATATTATGCTTGTAAGCGTAGATATAAATGAAAAATTGATCTTTTTCTTCAAAATAATAAATGAACTATCTTTTACATCTATTGATACAATCCAATATACAGAAACACCTAGTTATAGAATCTGTAACTGTTTATCATTAGTGAAGCGATTTCATTCTGAATCTTCTCTCTATATGAAATAATCTACTAGCAAATTTTCAAAGCCGGAACAATTTGTAATAAATAAAATCATTGCCATTTTTTTATTTTGTCGCATTAGTATTGCAGTAACTTCTTTCTGTGCTCTCCGTTTCCAATTCATTTTCTCTACTTTTATATAATGATAACTATTTTGTAAACGTGGTAGGATCATCCCTCGATGAACCACTCACTCATTATTCAACAAGATATTGCAATCCACCTCCTACGAGTAATTGGATCCCAACCGCTACCTCATGTTATTATAATCTATAGGATAAATTTCCTTTCAAAACAGTCAATAAAACATATCATTCCAAATCATTTCATCCTTATATCTCTGTGCTTTACATGTAGTTATTCCTTCTGTGCCAACCTGATCATCCATGTAAACTAGCATGTGCTGTAATCATTTCTAGAATATACATTTTTTATTTACATGATACTTCTCTGTCTTGAATCACAAGAAAATCAGCTTTTAAAACGGATACATTATCTTGGGATTTTGATGTTTCAAATTCTTATTCATAGTTAGTGAATATTTTAACACAATTATGGGACACTAGTTCGATTTCTTAAAATGTCAAAAACACTTTCGACTGATATATGGTATGTAAAACAAAAGTAGAAGGAATATTAGGTTATCACTAAATCTTGTCATTCCTCCAAAATTCACTCACTTGTATTAAGTTTTTCTTAAAAATCGCCAAATTACAGGGCAGTTGCTTAATATGGATGAAGTACACTTTAAAACTTTTCATGTCATTCATTACATTCAATATATATAGGATTTAAATTTATGTCTACTGAGTTAACAAACGGTTGTTATCCTATTTCATAACTTTTTCCATTTCTATATTTATCTTCCTATATGATTATCTGTCGTTCAATATTTATCATGTCTACAAAATACGCATCCTAAATACACTTAGTTACTTACACTTGTTACTCCCAATGAAGCATGAGCCGCCGACCGGCATTCTCCAATCCACTCTGTCCCACTCTGCCTTTCTTTCTATTTATATCCAATTGTTGTTCATTCTTCTCATGGCTGTCTCGACTTCTCGACATAATGTGTTCTTTGGTCTTCCTCTTTTCCTTTGGCCTTGAGGATTCCATGTGAGGGCTTGTCTTGTGACGCAGTTGGGTGCTTTCCTCAATGTGTGTCCTATCCACCTCCAGAGCTTCTTCCTCCACTGGGATTTGGTTTGTTCTCTCACACAGAAGGTTGTTCCTGATAGTGTCTGGTCAACGAATCAGAAGTATTTTGCGTGGAGCTGTTAATAGACAATTGTATCTTCTGGATGATTGCTTTCGTAATCCCCCACGTTTCCGCTCCATACAGTAGAAGTGTCTTGACATTTGTATTGAAATTTCTGACCTTGGTGTTGGTTGACAGTTGTTTTGAGTTCTAGATATTCTTCAATTATAAATATGCTACTCTTGCTTTGCCGATTCGCGCCTTCACGTCCGCATCAGATCCACTGTGTTCATCAATTATACTGCCCATATATGTAAAGGTTTTTACATCTTCTAAATCTTCTCAATCAAGTGTGATTCAATTGAAATATAATTAGTATTTAAGTTTAACATTACCGTTACTCAAAACATGTTGAATCAACAGAACATATACAAAATCAAACAGGATATATATTTTATTCACGTCATAGTAGTCCGATTATACTGGAGAAAACAATGAGCAACAATATACATAGTGGAAAAACCAAAACAACTAGGACATATGTATTTAGCCACTTTACACCAACGTATCTCTCTAATTCTTTGAACACTTTGTAATAAAAAATGTATGAATTCCTTGTATTCTCTAAACATGTCTGGTCTTTTTTTACAATAATGGCTTTATTCTTTCGTATTTGTCGTAGGTTCTTTTCAAAATTGTTTTGAAAAACCATTAGATTCATTATTTTCTGTATGTAGCGTTGAATGGTCTGTTGAATTGGTTTTTGACAATAATCTGGATTTGATAGGATGTGCAATGGTTTCGTATTCTCGTTTATCGCCATCATTTTTATTAAGAATATTGGGATTTGACTGTTGGTCAGCTACTACTTCTGAACAAGATTCATCATTACATCCACCATCAATATCATTACCGATGTTGCTTTTCGGTTGATCTAAACTTTTAAATATAGTCAATGCCTAAAATTAATGATGGTAAATGGAAAAAGCGAAAGAGAGAGAAAAGAAGACAATCTCAGTAATAACACATTTTCTACTGTGAAAGAAAATTCAAAAAAACGAAACACTTGAAAAATTACGACAATACTGTCTGGTATATTTCCAGATACACCATGAGCTATACTGAATAAATACAGTACATAATTGAAGATCTGCACTACTGACATATTGAATAAAGAGTAATGTTATTTCTCTACACAAAATATTTAATTTAAGTGTGAAGAGATCACTTTAGTAGTCAAATAATTCAACTTTTAACCATTAGATCGTAGATTTGAACCCTAATTCACCTATTTTGGTTTCGGAAGCTGGGTGTAGATCTGATTCATATAGAATGAAATGCGATGTAATCTGTAGAGCTATGTAAGTAGTATAGTTGGAACAAGTTTCATGAAGATTTACTAAATCACATCAGCTATGATGCCAGAAGTCTTTTAATAATTTTCACTTACCATCAAACTTTACAGTTACGCAAGAAGCTGAATTAAAAATACCATTTCTTAACACTTACATACTAAAAGAAATATCTGAATACTCAAAATGTTTATATAAACAGAAAAGTAACATAGAATGAACAACTAACAGAGTTATCGAGTTTGGTTCTGATAACAAGGCAATGATATGTTATTCATCCATTATACTTTAGATATATCATGAAATTTGTTCATTAGAATAATTGGAGAACTAACCAAGAACGAATCTTATACGTTTCTATCCAATGACTTTATTTTCTCCTCGACTTGTATTGTCTGTGTCTAGTCCTTTCTACTATAACTAACACCGTTACTATATTGGCATTTCTCTTGATAATTTCATCTAGTTGTGCTGATATGATAAAGCCATTTTTGTGGTGTGGGTTACTTATATCCACATAAGTAGTATGTAACGGTGGTCAGGCATATAATGTGTTTCAGTAGAAGATCGATAAGGGAAGAACGGAAACGGAAAGCAATTGGTATGAAAATGCATGAACGATGAAATTTGAGACAATGGACTGATATTTGCGAAAGGAACAGTCAAGTTTGAGACGATGGATTGATATTTTGTAAATTAACTATTTACTATATGGTTCTCAGATTTTAGTGAGATGTTCTGTGTATTTGTGCTCAAACACATTCGATTAATCCACTCGTGTTCGTGTTCACTACATTTCAACTGATACACAAATTTGTCAGCCTCTTCTACATTGCATATGACTGACTGAAGCCAACCAAATCCAACACTTTTTTAAAATTTCAATTTGAGAAAGACATTTCTAATGATATACTTGAAAATTATCTGAAAAGATCAATTCAAAAAACATTCCATGCAGCAAATCTCTACATAAACTACTCTAATAGCCTGTTTATATGCTTCTGCATAAAAGAAAGGTTACTACTAATGACCAATTGTACTTGTTTGTACCAGTTTTCCAGGTCCTGTATAACCATGTGTGTAGGTCGCCCATCAAAGCTGCTTCTTCAATGCATCCAGAAACTTATAACTGAATGCCAGTATCCAAGTCAGTAGATCCAAAGCGGCTAATGATGATAGTTAACAGAAAATATTTATTTCAATCTATATTAAGGAAACTAATCAGATCAAATATATGGTCAACGAGGAGATTGTCGAAAAAACACAAGCATAAACTAGAAAAACAAAGACTTAAATCAGTAGGCATAAACGCCTAAGGAAACAAGAGAACTAAATCAGACATTACTTTTTTTCAACTCACTCAAACACTTCTAAAAATAGATCAAAATGAGGATTTTGGAGGGGGTGTATTCTTTGGTCTGAATGGTCCAGTAGACGAACCACACAACACCGAATATAAAGATGGTGACCAGAAAGTAAAATACATTTTTGAAAGGTTAGGCTAAAGCTTATAGCGAGTAATAAATTGAACTAACGTCGTTTTGACATTGTAAGAAATGTGGACAAATTACAAGATTGATTAAACTCACTTGAGTAACCATTGACGCAACATCACCACTATGAGATGGTAATAATACTGTATTAGTTGTCTTCGCTAAAGCACTGAAAGCTTCTATGTACTGTTCAGCTACTGTAAGCTGTACTGCATCTGCTCCACGCTAAAAATAAAATACAAACAGGAAAGTGAATCATTAGTACGTTTATAGAAAACCTTTCTAATTGTAAAATCACAGAAAACTCGGTGAATATATGATAGTTTAATGGGTTCAAAGGTACTCTACTTTCACTATGGCGACTTCCTGTTTCATGCTCTAAACGATCACAGTTAATTTTTTGAGACATTGTAAGATTCACTGAAATAAGGCACTCAAGGTCAGCCAACATGAGAAGACCATCTTTGCATCTCGTAATATATATATATATATATATATATATATATATATATATATATATATATATAATAGTTAGCTAAGATTAAAACCCACATTCCAAGTGATGAACCTAGGAACAACAGTTAATTATCAGAACAGAAAGGCACAAAAATAACCGGTTGAAAATGGCCGGATATATAATATATGTAACAACCAATAAGAGGAAAATTAGTTTACAATAATTACTTAAGCATGTTACAAATGTCATTCCAGAGACTTTCAGATTGTATTTGATTTGCTAACGCCAAACTGGTTGGAAAAAGAGAAGAAGTGGTCAGTGCATGGCACGACGCCGGAGTATGTAAAAAAGCTGTATAGAACTGGAATCTGTCGGTTTATTACAGTTGAGGTCTTCGAGATGATACAAATGAGTGGCTTGGGACGTTGATATATATAACTCAAAATACGAGCAGACAGTGTTCCTTTCTGTAATTTACCTTTGGACTCTTCACAAAAGTGAGGAAAACTTCTTCAACTGAAAAATCCTCGCTGATTTGTTTCTCCTATTATTAACTATTCGCGTTCTCTTGTTTCTACTCATTTAGTTCATTTTACTCCCTCTCGTTCCTCTAACACTTTACAATCTCATTTTCGTAACTTTATGGAGGATATTTATTTTGGTACCCATATACACCAATATGTGTTTAAATATTTACATAAAAATTAGGATTGACTAATGAAACATGAGAAATTATATGACAAACAAAACTGACTACTCATAAGTAAGGCAGTTACGAAACACATCTCACAAACGTGTCAATATATACTAATTAGTACAACACTTGGAATTCCATTTTTAAAGCTATACAACTGGAAAGAACATAAAACCACATTTATATTCTACTAAGTTATAAAACTTGAATATTCCTAATTTTTAAGTCTCATTTAATACTTTTAGCCTGGTACATACCACTAAACAACTAAGCGCCTCAAATGGATTTATACGAATATTCATCAATATTAGAACGAATAGTTTGTCAAAAATTGGGCACCGAGTATGAAGAAGCCATTATATATGAAAGTTATATTTGAAATAATCTCAGCGATCGAAACTTTTCAACCTTCACTTTTGTTTTTTTCCTTCATACAAAAACAAATTGAACAACTAATATCAACTATTAGTAACTCAACCTTACACACATACACACACTTTATTCAGTCATTTAGCTCCACATCGTGAACTTTTCACATGAGTCGCATTTAACTGACTCATGTTATCCCATTTACTAGGGTCAATATCTAAACATGATTGAATTAGCACAGTATTGATTTGATGATGTTGATTATTACCCTGAAGAAGTCCAGACATGTTTGCTGGATGAAACGTTGAGATTATTTTAAATTTCAATCGCTGAGATTATTTCAAATATAATTTTCACTTGTAATGAACTGAAATGGATGTTTTAATTTCTAAAAATGAAAAAATAAAAATAAACATTCAAAAGGTGTATAATTTTTTTAGTACAGAATAAAATGATCCTGAAAACTTTAGTGATAACTTTCAATGTACTGAAATATATTCCTTACCTTAGTACCGATTGCACGGGCAATGGTTTGGATAGACTGAGCTCGAGCTTCTGCTAGACGTTGGATAGCTTCAGCTTCACCTAAACATTAAGAGGGAAAATCAAATCAACATTCGTCCGTTTAATATACAATAAAAAATCCTGGAACCATAGAGTATCAAGATGTTTTAGAATGATAATAACGAATGAATGATAATCTTTACTACTTCCAAAAACACGTTCCTTTATCTTTGTGATGGAATTTCATCAAGATAGTTTATATGCTACGTACATTATTCGTTTTGATGACCGTTATTAGTTACCTCCCAATGCTGCATAAATTTCAAAAGACAATACAAAACGTTGACTACATTTTATACAGCTGATGGTAGAACTCAACTTTGGTTAGATTTAAGCTGAAGTCCATCGAAACGTAAGGAGAAATAAGGTAGAAACATCATTTTATTGGACAGTTACTTTTGCGCTAGAAGAACATGAGCAACAGTAAGTGAGAAGAAAACTCATTAGTACAGCTTAATGACACACTCTGACAAGACTGGAATTCAGTGTAAGTCTCCGAAGTGAAAAGAGAACGCATTTACAAATCTAAAAGTACATAACGAATCGAAAACACTCCACCGAAATCTTTAGCAAGGATCTATAGGATACAGAACCAATCATATAGCAAATTGAAATCATTTGGATAGAATGGAATATGCCATAGAAACGAACTGGTAAATGGAAGATTAAGACTGATATCAGAAATATAAGCACAATGGGATTGGAACGGCACAAATTTAACATAGTATGAAACGAAACACTGTAGTCTGTAAGGTGAGTGATTCGTAATTTTAGTTTTTCTAATTAGTAGTTATCGTGATTGGTGTGATTCAGAAACAGTATTTGGGCCGTCAAACCGAAATAGGTCACTTCCTTATATAACCAGTCTCGAGTCCATCAACGTTTCCCTTTCTGTGTCAGTTCGGCCACATAAAAACACGCCCTAGTTGTATATTCAAAGCAATAGACTTTACTATGTCATCATTGTCGTCCCATTTACGCAATTGGGGTGTTCAAGTGCTATGAGAGTACGTAGTATTTGAACCGAGCAGAATATTATGACGATTATGCAGCATTCAACTAAAGTTTTAGAAACTATGAAACTCGTTATCTCAACAAATCAGATATATCTTGGGAACAATGACTTTAATTACAATAGTATTAGCAGTGTTCGTTTTTCGGATAAATATTTGTGAAATTTTTAGTGCAAAATGAGCAGCACAGTAATAACGAAAACTAAGCACTTACCTGAAGCTTTGTTTACGATTTGAATCTGGTGACCTTCTGACTCTAACACCTGGCTACGTTTTAAACCCTCAGCTCGATTAATAGCAGCTTCACGTTGTCCTTCTGACTCTAAAATGGATGCACGCTTTTTTCGTTCTGCTTCAACTTGCATTTGCATAGCTTCTTTGATTTTTTGTGGCACCTGAACATCGCCTAAAATGCGTATATAAATATATAACAATCACATCACAACTATATTCTACTTACGAATTTCATAACGCAAACACTCAATACCCCAAGGCTCTGATGCTTTGCCTAAAGCTTGTACGATTTGAAAATTCAATGCTTCTCGTTCTTTAAAAACATTATCCAGAATTATCTTCCCGATTTCTGATCGCATAATTGTTTGGGCTAACTTTAATTATCAAAGAAAAAAGGATTATGAAGTTAAATTGAAACGAACAATTTAAATAAAAATGTGATGAAGCCTCAACGATAAAACACTGGATATCTAATAGTCCAAATTTACAAAATAACTCCGTATAAAAAACTCAGTTTGAGATTTTGTGAAACTGAAACACTCGATCACAACAGGTTGGTCCATCTGAGGAAATGCATTTGAAGGTCAGCTACATATCTACTTACACCTGTTACCCCTCGTCGAAGAGCATAGGCCACCCATTATCACTCCACATCCAACTCTTTCCTAGACAATTCTTTTCAGTTGTTTCCAGTCGCTATTCATCCTTTTCATATCGCCTTCAAATTAACGTCGTAATGTGTTCTTCGACCTTCCTCTTTTCGGTTTCTTATCAGGACTCTAAGTTAGCGCTCGCATCTTGATGAGGCTTGATTATTTCCACAATGTATGTTCTATCCACTTTTAACTTCTCTTCCTAATTTCTTCTTCCACTCGAAGCTGATTTTTTCTCTCCCGCAATAGGCTGTTGCTGATGGTATCCGGTCAGCGGACATTCAGCATCTTGTGTAGACAATTGTTTAGAAATACTTGTACATTTTCGATCACGGTTGTGGCAGTTCTTCACAATTCAGGTCCGTACAGTGAACCTGTCTTGACGTCCACATTGAAGATTCTGATCTTGATGGTGGCTTGGAGACAGTTGTTTTCAGTTCCATATGTTTTTCAATTGTGGGAATGCAGCCTTTGCTTTGCCGATCCTCGCCTTCAAATCTACATCGGATCCTCCACGTTCATCGATGATACTTCCCAGGTACATGAAAGTTCTCACATCTTCCAGAGTTTTTCCATCAAGTGTGATTGGGTTGGTGTTGTCCGTGTTGTATTTGAGGATCTTTCTTTTTCCTTTGTGTACGTTGAGGCCTAATAATTCAGAAGTTGCTGCTACACTAGTTGTCTTCATCTGCATTTCTTCGTGTGTATGGGATACAAGGGAAAGGTCGACTGTGAAGTCCAAATCATCTAGTTACATCCGAGCTGTTTATAGTAATCCGTTCTTCCCCACAGATGTGGAGATCTTCATAATCTAGTCAATAACCAGAAGAAAGAGAAAGGTGAGAGCAATCAGCCTTGTGTGACATCGGTCCTCACTTGGAATGCGAGTCAGCCGTACCACATGCACCACTTTGCACTGTAGTCCGTGGAGCATGTTGACAATTGCTTCCACGTTGAAATTAAAGCTTCGGATGAGTATATTAACGGGTTCTGCTGCTTTCCAACTGTTGATTTGTCGGGTGGACATCCTGATTTCGTCCATCGTTGATGTTGTGACATCAACAGGAAGGTATGAAGGTGCCGCCTCGATTTCCGGCGGATTCAGTGGAGCTGGTCTATTCAAGAATTCTTCAAGGTGTTCTATCTATCTGTTCCTTGGTTCTCGAATCGCAGTGATTAATTGGTTACCCCGGTCTCCCACATTGTTCCGAGGTTCCATGTACCTACACTAATTGTTGCTCTGGTTGTTAGAAGGGGCATCGGCCTCGTGACTTTCGAAGAATCTCTGCTTTCATCATGAGGCGTCATAATTCTTCCTACAACTCCGAGGGCAGAGTTGAAGTGGTTTAATTTGTTTAATCTGGTTGGCGTTTTTTAGAAAGGTTGTTTTCTATGGGATGGGGTTGTCGACCCAATGCCCAAATAACCAGTTAATCTGTTCTTCAGGAAAAATACTTATTATTTTCAGAACACCAGATAGATTTTAATCACTTGTCGACGTTCCCAGTGAATAGATAGGATTAATCAACTTTATTTAATTTTTCATCTTATGTTGTGAGTCACGAAAAAATGTATATCAAATGTTTCAACATATGATTCAATGGATACGCGATGTCTAGACTACTGTTGGGGTTGTTATATCTCTAGGAGAAGACAAGGTTATCGCCTCACTTTCAACAGAAGACCACGCAGAATGTTACCTGATGAATGCTATTTGTGTTTTATCAATGTCAGCGTCGGAGATCCAAATCACTTCCAGGAACGAGCTGATTGTTGAAACTATAAAACTACGTCACTAACAGTTGGCCATCTACTAGGTTTGATGGTGATGTGAAGCAACTTTACCATTATCGGGATTCGTTTTGCGTCGTAAACGAATGCTTGATTTTTGGAGAGTAGTTGTGCCAAAATCTCTACGATCAAATGTATTGCAGCAGTTTTATATTGTTTATCCCGGAGTGGAACGAATGAATTCCATAGCCCGGAGTTTTGCATATTGACCACTCATAGACCAGTAACGTCACGGAACTTGTAGGCAGGCGAACGCAGTGCCAATAAGCAGCGAAATTTAGCGATAAAGTACAGTCTATTTCGTGGCCACAGCCTGAGTATTCTTGATCCAGGATGCATGTTGACTTTGCTGGCCCAATTAAAGGAACTACTTACTTATTAGTAGTTGGTGTGTTTTCGAAATGGTCAGAAATTCTCTCCGTCATGCCACCAACGACAACCAAAACGCTACAGCGCTCGGAAAAGATCTCCTGGAACGGATTTCCTTATGTAATTGTATCGGATAACAGTTCGCAGTTCATTTCCAACCAGTCCCAAGAATCCTGCCGACAACCAGCCGTCAAACATTTCTGCTTTCTCCCTTATCACACACAGTAGAATGGCCAAGCGGAAAGGTGTTAGGATGCTAGATTCCCAGAAATCACATTTTAAACGTTTCGTTTTTGTAATTTTATTTTAAAAAATTTAATTTTTCATTTTCGCGCCAAAAGCGCCCACTTTTACCTGTATTTTCCACTTGAAAGGACCTTAAATGTCATTGGTTCGTTTTCGCTTTTAGCACGCTAGTTTGCGACGTGTTCCAAAGACATTTTTGTACTGTAAATATACTCATGAGTTGTGTGCTTGTTTGTTCGTGCTTCTGGCTGTTCGCGGAATATACATTTTCCTAGGCTGAATCTGGTCTTCTCTCTCTAGTGGAATAGCTTAGCTTGTTCTTGTTGAGTTGGCTTTCGGAGAACTTCAACGGAGTCTCCAGAGGCCCAAAAAGGAGCCGAAGAGTCCTAACCAATCAGAGCACGATGGAGCATTCCAACGTGGTGTGCTACTATTGGTCAGTAGCATGACATGTCGCTAACGGATTGGCCGAAATATTATGTTGATTTAACAAACGCTAACATCTATAAATACCCATGTTTTCTGTACAAGAATGAACCTTGGAGTAAAGTATTTCTCTCATAATTTGCGTCTTCTTTCTGGTGTTCAAGTCGCTGTGTAGTTCTAGCGTGCGGGTTACCAGAATAGCTTAGGAAAACGAATATAGCGTTCAATCGACAAGACTTATCAGTTCTGTTGTAGTGTTGCTGACTCTCGTTTCGTTCGCTGGTTTTAGGTGATATAGTAATCTTTTCAAACGTAGCAACTACAGAGCTGCAGTAATAATAAACACATATACTAAGACAAGGGATTTTCAAAGATTAGTTAACCAACTAACATCACCTAGACAACTATTGAAAATAAGAGTGCTTAACAACTATTTTATTTTAATTTACGAATAGTACAGACAATCATTTTTTTTCTTCCCAACTGATTTCACTGGCGAATATGTAAATTTATTCTATAAACTCTTAAATGAGTTGTCTTTATATGGTTTGCGTAGCCTTACATAACATGGTACAATAGTTTGCTACAACTACACTATTATTTCTGTGGTAGTGTGGATATGATGCAAATTATCATGCTCCAGCATCTACAAAGTAAAGTTCCTGATTAATTTATTCACCGCATCTATTTTCAACTTCTTAAAAACATCTTAGTCAGTTTCACCTGAGTATTTAGTGACTAAAACATGATCAAAACGTAATTGACAGACTCAATGAACCTCTCCAATGCCATTTAGCAATGACCTTTAAGGTTCCAGGATGTTTCTTTTTGTCCAAACTTCACTAATTCTTGATATTGGAGTCGAACGATATTCACAGTTAAAATTTGAAATTAATACAATCAATACAAAATACACGTAAACGTCTAGACTTCTTAATCTACAAATACTCGACATAGACAAGCAAAGTTACATATTTTACTGGGATTTAAAGCAATCGCTATAATATAACAGCAACTATCTATCCAAAAGTATAATTAGTTCTTCATATCCTAGATGGCCTGAAGACAAGTCGCAAAAGAGTGATATTTCTTACAACTAATTTTGACTGTCATATTTAAAGAGAAATATAATTCAAATAAGTTGACAACAATAGGAAAAATTAATAATGTACCTGAGTAATTGCAAATTCAGCCTCCGACACCCCATATGATGCCAAATAAGGATTTTTGACCTTAAGGAAGAGAACACCGTTCAATTGTAAAACGACATTATCTAGAATTAAAATGTTAATCATTTAGATTATCGTTCATCTTTAACGATTATCATAAATTTAAAACATTTAGTCCCTTTGGTAAATTTCGATAATGCAATGAGAAGACGAAGTTTATCAGAATTATGTAATATATTTGCACAATACATTTCGAACAATCTGATCACACACATATACTTGTTAAGACATTTTTATATGAGAACTAAAAGGTCAACTATACAGATTTAAGGTAAGTCGTAACAAAGAAAAATAAAGTACACGAAAACAATGCGGTAACAACTCTGGATGATAAGTCAGTATTGCCAAGGTAGGTTAAGTGTAAGAACAAATTGTTTTTGAACACATAAAGAGGGTTTCAGTTTCCGTATAGCCAAGGCTTCAATAAACCTTAGTATACGCTCCGGAAGGCTTTTGTACGACGCCACAAATGCAGACTTGATATCAACCTTATGACCAGTTCAAAAGGCTATAGTTAATCTGAAACGAGGAAGGGCAGCTGGTCCAGATGGATTGGCTCCAGAGGTCTTTAAGGATGGTGGTCCAATTTTAGCGATTAGGTTGACTAATATTTTAGCTAAGATCTGGGAGTCAGACGTTATCCCATCTGACTGGTCGCAATCACTTATCGTCCCAATATATAAGAAAGGGTCAAAATCATCCTGTGACAACCACAGAGGGATTAGTTTAACAAATATAGTATCTAAAATACTGGCCTCGATAATTATCAGACGCTTAACTAAGACTCGCGAACTGTAAACACGAGAGAACCAAGCTGGTTTTAGACCTGGTCGTGGTTGCATCGACCACATATTCACCATTCGTCAGGTTCTAGAACACAGGCATACCTATCGGCGTCCGACGATGGTGGTCTTTCTTGACTTAAAAGCAGCATTTGACTCTGTAGACCGCGAGACTCTGTGGCAGTGTCTGTCATTGAAAGGCGTACCCCAGAAGTACATAAACCTTGTGAAGGCTCTTTACTCGAACACTACTAGTCGAATCAGAGCTTATGGCGAACTGTCATCTACTTTTGCAACCTCAAGTGGTGTCCGTCAAGGTTGTCCACTTTCTCCATTTTTGTTTAATTTCATCACAAGCCGACTGCTAGAAATAACGTCCTCGTCGACCGAATTTTCAGGAATCGATCTCCTACCAGGTGGTGTACTTATCGACTTAGAATACGTAGATGACATAGTCCTGTTTGGTGAAGATGCTGATAAAATGCAGTGTTGTGGTAGCACTGAGCAACAATGCCAGAATGTTTGGGATGCGCTTCTCTCCCTCTAAATGCAAGTTGTTGCTTCAGGACTGGTCTGCGTCAACACCTGAACTAAGGATAGGGAGTGAAGTAGTCGAACGCGTCGACAACTTCACTTATCTTGGAAGTCTGATCAGCCCTAATGGGTTAGTATCGGACGAAATTTCAGCACGGATTCGAAAAGCTCGTTCGGCTTTTGCCAACTTACGTCACCCTTGGCGGAGGCGAGATATCCGTCTATCAATAAAAGGACGAATAAACTGAGCGGCAGTTCGTTCTGTTTTAATTTACGGCAGCGAAACATTGCCCTTAAGAGTAGAAGACACCCGTAAGCTATTAGTATTTGAACACAGATGCCTTAGAAATATTGCTGGCATCTGCTGGGATCACCGGGTAAGTAATAGTGAGGTTAGACGCAGGGTATTAGGGAATGATGGTGAATCAGTTGATGAGGTTATGAATCTTCATCGACTGAGATGATTGGGCCACGTATTACGTATGCCTGAACACCGATTACCACGACGTGCAATGCTAACCGGTGTAGGGGATGGTTGGAAGAAAGTTAGGGGCGGCCAAACCAAAACGTGGCATCAGTGCTTGAAGACACTAACTTCTAGTCTGAGCTATGTTGGTAGATGCAGACTACTTGGTTGGGGTCCGCGTGACAATCGTAACCAATGGTTGGAGACTCTTGGTGTCATGGCTCAGAATCGATCACAATGGCGTCGGTGTATACACTCCCTGTATTCCCTTAAACTAAGAGATTAAAATCACTTCATATCTTTCTTTCTACGAACTAATTCTTTCTTCCTATACTATATCCTTATTGCAATCTTTCTCCTATATATTACCACCTTTGACCTAACCACTCCTATGAATCCGCTGTTCATCTTGCTGTGCTAATGAGGTATGGCAACCTAGACCGATGCGCATATGTGCCTGGTCCTACGTTGTAGCTGACTGATTGACTGACTGACTGCAATGCTAGCCGGTGTCGGAGATGGTTTGAAGAGGGTTAGGGGCGGCCAAACCAAAACGTGGCATCAGTGCTTGAAGACACTAACTTCTAGTCTGAGCTATGTTGGTAGATGCAGACTACTTGGTTGGGGTCCGCGTGACAATCGTAACCAATGGTTGGAGACTCTTGGTGACATGGCTCAGAATCGGTCACAATGGCGTCGGTGTATACACTCTCTGTCTTCTCTTAAACTAAGAGATTAAAATTGCTTCATATCTTTCTTTCTACGAACTAATTCTTTATTCATGTGCTATATCCTTATTGCAATCTTTCTTTTATATATACCACCTCTGAATTAACCACTTATATGAATCCGGTGTCCATCTTGTTGTGTTAATAAGGTATGGCAACTTGGACCGATGCATATATGTGCCTGGTCCTACGTTGTAGCTGACTGACTGACCAGTCTCAACTAAATGTTTCGCAATAGATGAAGATGTCTGTCTATCTGCGATCATATTTGACCATTGGAATTCATTATCATAAACTTTATTGAATATTAAAGCGGTTGCATTTAAACTGTCAGTAGTTAGTGGAAAAAGACGGAATCCACTCCCATACAAATGCAATAAGACTTTGAAAAGTATCACATTTATCCCTTCAACTTTTAGCAAATTTGAGATTATGTGAGGATGAACAATAGTTCAGCATCAATCAATCCCAAAAATTTTGAAAGCAGGATGAACGGAGACTATTAATCAGTGTTAAATTTATCGAAGCATCCAAATCATCCGATTGAGATATGCGCAAAATTGAACTTCACAAAACAACGATTTGTCTAAAAAAGCGGGTCAAACATAGTCTATACATAGGTTGCAAATAATTGAATATAGCTTCTGAGAATTAGATGCACATGACAAAGCCACTAGAAGGCTAGTGATGAAGTTAGATGTAGAGTAATAGTGATAGGTGATAAATAAGTAACCTTCATCAACCAAGATGGCCAGAACATGAGTTATGCAACAAAAAAACCCTGCCTGCAACACTGACTACATTTGTTTTCGTTCCCATTCTTGTAATAATATCACTTGTTTCATTTTCGCTCCACCAAGCAAGTTTTTCACATTCAAAAGTTTTAACTATTCTAAATCGCTTCGGATATTGAGATGGTTGTGTTCGTGAAAGTAAGTGACTTATAAATCTTGAAATCGTACATATATATTACCACCTCTGAATTAACTACTTTTATGAATCCGCTGTCCATCTTGTTGTGTTAATGAGGTATGGCAACTTGGACCGATGCATATATGTGCCTGGTCCTACGTTGTAGCTGACTGACTGACCAGTCTCAACTAAATGTTTCGCAATAGATGAAGATGTCTGTCTATCTGCGATCATATTTGACCATTGGAATTCATTATCATAAACTTTATTGAATATTAAAGCGGTTGCATTTAAACTGTCAGTAGTTAGTGGAAAAAGACGGAATCCACTCCCATACAAATGCAATAAGACTTTGAAAAGTATCACATTTATCCCTTCAACTTTTAGCAAATTTGAGATTATGTGAGGATGAACAATAGTTCAGCATCAATCAATCCCAAAAATTTTGAAAGCAGGATGAACGGAGACTATTAATCAGTGTTAAATTTATCGAAGCATCCAAATCATCCGATTGAGATATGCGCAAAATTGAACTTCACAAAACAACGATTTGTCTAAAAAAGCGGGTCAAACATAGTCTATACATAGGTTGCAAATAATTGAATATAGCTTCTGAGAATTAGATGCACATGACAAAGCCACTAGAAGGCTAGTGATGAAGTTAGATGTAGAGTAATAGTGATAGGTGATAAATAAGTAACCTTCATCAACCAAGATGGCCAGAACATGAGTTATGCAACAAAAAAACCCTGCCTGCAACACTGACTACATTTGTTTTCGTTCCCATTCTTGTAATAATATCACTTGTTTCATTTTCGCTCCACCAAGCAAGTTTTTCACATTCAAAAGTTTTAACTATTCTAAATCGCTTCGGATATTGAGATGGTTGTGTTCGTGAAAGTAAGTGACTTATAAATCTTGAAATCGTACATATATATTACCACCTCTGAATTAACTACTTTTATGAATCCGCTGTCCATCTTGTTGTGTTAATGAGGTATGGCAACTTGGACCGATGTATATATGTGCCTGGTCCTACGTTGTGGCTGACTGACTGACTGACATATCACATTAGCTACTTTCAATACATCCTCCAGCACACTGATGATCGGACAACATACAATTTCCGCTAAAACTCTAAAACGCATTAATCTTGAGAGTCTAGAATTCTATTAAATTGCTACAAATAAATTGTCTACTTGTTACCTTGTATTATATGAACTTATAGAGGCTGAAAACTAACTTCCTGCTGTTCTTTCAGCTTTAAATCCTTGAGGTAAACGTCCACAAGAGCAGTTGCAAGGGTAAATAAATATAGACCAAACAGAAAACTTCTGTCTATAATAAGAAGCAGAACTGTATAGGAAGTAAACAACGCTGCAAGTATCCCGACAATTAAATGAAACTATGAAGGACATCTGTAAAAAAGATCAACTAATATGAACTAAAATCATCAGTCTGACACGCACCGTGGCTAAAATATTGCAAACTATCATACTGCACAGATAAGGAAAAGACGCGGAAAAGATTGGTGTATGACTGAAATGGTCTTATAACTAGTTTATGTGTATAGTTTATTTGCGGATAAATTGCTGGAAAGTGTGGTTATAGACTTAGTATGTTTAAAAAAGATTAAGAAATAACGTATCTGATTACCTGATGTAATGGCTGACTGATCTGGAATTTCAATGGCCACTTCTTTTAGTGACTGTACATAAGCGACGCGATCTAGAATGGGTATACAAAAATTGAGTCCCTGTGATACGTTGTCAGGGATGAAATTTTCAAGAACTAACTGGTTCCAGTGTCCTGTGGAATTTTCCTAACCTTTCAATAACCCATGCTTCTTTCTCTGGGACGATCAATATCCCTATATTTATAGGTGCTCGTGATGTGTAATCACGACTGCTAGCATATACCTAATGAAATAAAAACATTCATATAGAAAGTGAGAATAAACAGTTTGCACAGTCAACCATAAACTTAGGTTAGTTACATGATTGGCTATTCTGAAAAGGACATAAACCGTAAGTGAAATACAAATTTTTAAGCCCAGCCCAATGACTATTTCCAGCGAATATTTCCCATATTCGTATAATGTATAAGCAATCCGAATTCCGAAAGCACGACACAGAGATAATCACTAATCTCACAATTTTAATGGGTCAGTATGACTTCTAAGAGCCACTCTCAAACTGTGTCGGTTTCATACACTGCCATACAGTTTAAGTACTACAACTGTATGAACAATCAAGTTTATGAATCGTTATAACGTTGAGTGGTTCCCTCAAAGTTGTTGAAAGTTCTGAGGGAATATTGGCGAAAAACACGATTTCAGATAAATTCAACCAAAATTACTGAGAATGTTGGGGTTTTATTAATAAATATAGACAGATTACCGCAAAGTGTTATGAGATTCTGGGGGAAGTTTTGGGGATATCTCCAAAAACACTAGAGATCTCCCCAGATCTGGAAGAAAAATCGGTGTTTTCGTGCCATTTTCCTAAAACTGGGAGGTCGGGAAGTAATGCTATGACCTATTCAGAACATGATCCCCAGTTGATATTAATTATATCCCAATGTTAGTTGGACTTGTAGTGAATACAATCGCACCCAAAACTGAGACAAGACAATAAATCGGGCGCTAAAACAGTAACAGGGCTTTAACTACAGCTAACAGCTTGTAAGAGCTATCAACATTCCAGATAACAGTTTGCTTGCATGAGCGTCTTACATAGTAGTATTTCACCGTTTGCTAAAGCTATAACAATTATAACCATCATATTGTTAGATAACTGTATAGAATGGCATTTTGGAAGCATTTACAAATCAAAGACACAGCTAACCCTGGAAAGTCGATAAGCTGGACGGCCAATCACATTACGAATCATGTTGACTGTGACCCACAAACTTAAATTCCCTCCTTCACGAAATCAAATGGTTCAAAAGCTTTCGCCTAACGGGCTTCTGAGTCTAGTAGCAGTGGGTCACCAATACCTCTAGGCAGGAATCTAGGTATATTAACGATAATAGAGGAAAGAAACGAAATTGGTAAATCATAATAAGATGTTATCCTTAGTCCTTAAGAATAGATCAAGTTTCCTCTTAAAGGACTCCTGGGAAATCGCTTGGATTAGTTCGGTCGGCAGCAACTTCCAGCATTCGACAACTCTTAGGGAGTAGAAGTTGTGTCTAGAGTCTGTTCTGCTATGTTGTATCTCCAATTTCTGTGTGTTACTCTTTAGTTCTGTGTTGGAGCTAAACTTAAGTTGGAGTTTAAGGGGATGTCGAGAAGTGTTAAGGATACTGTAAGCCATCAGAAGGTCACCTCTGGGGCGCCTACACTCTAATGGGTGAAGGTTAAGTGATTAGAGGCGCCCTTCATAAGATGTGAATTTGAGTCCCCAAAGTGAGCTCGTGGCTCGCCACTGGATGCGCTCCAGAGGGTCATTATCCTTTTGTCTCGGCTTAGCGAGTGTGAGAACATCACGCTAGACAGTGTTGCCAGGATTGAAGCTACTTCTTTCACTATAGCAGAACGAACCATATCCGGACCAGGAGAATTGTCTTTTCTGAGTGCTGCAGTTTCCGGTACACCAAGTCAGCGCTCAGGTTCACTTCGGAAAGTCCTGCGCAACTGCAGATGAAGCTGTCATCAGTAAAGTTGATGTAGGTCGGTTGAAATGTCCGTCGTTATTGATCGGGCTATTAGGACATGGCAGTTGTGAAACTCTAGTTCTAGCTTGATGAATTGAGGCGGCATAGCGGAATAAGCTTTTCAGATTGGAGACAAATTTATCAATAAGCTTTATCTGATATCGAAGCCCATCTTCTCTTATTGTCTTTTTACTTATGTTGTGGCATTGGGCCTTAACCACACAATCCCCAAAGCTGAACACGAGACATCTCGGGAAATAGATATTCAATTTTTAACGCGGAGAAAAACCCGTCAATGGAGAAGGCAGGAAAAAGGAACTGAATGAATTTGAATTGATCGGACGGCATGTCTCGGCCTTGCAGGCTTGGTATTACTTATGTAACATTATTTTTATTCATATTAAATATATTGTTCTATCTCCAGCCTGAATGTGTCCTCCATCACATATTGATGGTTGTTACGATACGATGAGCTGGTGTATACGAAGAAGTGACTTTTCACGTAAGATCTTATATACTCGGTAGTTATTTCATGATAAATTTACAATTTTAGGATTGGATTTATATTATAGCAGTACTAATATCCAAGTAGACCATAATTCTACACATCTGTTTATTATATGTTCGTGTTGCCTGTACGCGCCGTTGTTGTCAGTTCGTTTGAGTTACACTCAACAGTGCATTTTGCAGCTTAGCAAACGAAGAGTGTTGTTCTTGATGACTGTAGGTTGCTTGTAGATTTTGGGGACCATTGGAGGAACAGACTGCGTTGTAGCACATAAGATTGCCTGCAGTAATAAACCCCAATGATCATCCACATCAAGTTGAGGGTGAATTTTCCAATCAACCTGTTGAAGAAAGTCCTGTAGAGCTGACACATTCAACCGTTAGAAATTCTAGCGTCCGTTGTTGGTGGGATGTCTTAGCTCAGTTTTGCTCACAAAACTAGAGGCTATGACGGCGTGATCGCTTCCACTCAGATGAAACAGGATTGAAGGGTTGTCAATTAGGAATCCCTCGTTTGTTATTACTAAGACAAGACAAAATGTGATTTAACGTCTTACGTGCAGTAATCGTTTAGGTGTTCTGGAAACCTTACTCATCTTTCAGAACGCGTTGTTTTGAGTCTGTTTTCAGATACTACCAAAGTATAACCGTGAGCATTAACTATCGGATGGGGTAGTAGTCGTGTTTTTCAATTGTACCGAAGGAAAATCGACGCAAATAAGGTTTCCTTCTAGATACACCACTTTGATGCAATCGATGCTGATGCTATCGTTTGTTCCGTTCTTATCGATATCATAGTAAGTGGGTTCATGCTAAAAAACTTTGAAGGGTCTTTCGTATACTTTTTCGATAGGTCTTTGAAATGAGTCTCGACGTACAAAGACGTGTGTACTATATCGTAAGTCAGGTTGAACGAAAACATCAGTTGACTGTGGTTGAATGGGAACAGGTTTAACTGAACTCATTTCGTTTTTAAGCCTTTTCGTGTAGGAGTTTATATCCAAATTCATTGAATAAGATGGAGGATCCTGGATTTCGAAGTGTCGTTCTATAAACGAGTTGAGCTGCAGTGTATCCAATATCAACTTTCACTCCACTGCAAATACCTAGTAAGACGAAAAGGAAAAGCCTTGGTCCACTGTGAAACGTTTGCAGCTGACAGAGAAGCTTTTAGCTGTTGGTGGAAGAGTTGCACCGACCCGTTTGCTTGTGGGTGGTAGAAAGTCGTTCGGAATCGTATGACTCCTAATTGTGTAGTCAGGCAATGGAAAAGTCCAGATTCGAACTGGCGTCCTTGGTCTGTAGTGATAGTTGAAGGATGATCAAAGTTTGCTACCCACCGTTCGACGAAAGTGCGGGCCATTGTTTCATCAGTGATGTTCTTGATGGGTACTTATGTAAACTGTGAAATATAGTCCAGTTGTCGAGACTTTCGAGGCGAATACTTGTCAGAAGATGAGCTTAAAAAGAAGGTCAGAGGTATGTGATCGTTGAAGAGTGAGTCCTCGGCCTTCAGTGCTGTTGGAAGAGCCGTACAGTACAATACACAACTAGAAGTTCTCTACCGAAAGTGCTATGCCTCGATTCCGTATCTAGCAACCATCTCAACAATAATGCCAAAGGTTGCCAGGTGTGGTTAACCCATTGCTGTAAGACTCCTCCGATTTCTGAGTCGAATGCGTCTACTGCGATACTAATGTATACTTGGGTGTACTGGTGTGCAGGCACAGTTGCTTTAGCGATAATTCTTAAGTTGTGGAAAATTCTTTTATTGCGGCATCGTCCAAATTGGTGGATTTCTCACTTCCACGAAGTCGGTCGGTTAGATGATTTATAAGAGGTGCGCAGTTCGGTATATAGAAACTTACAGGGCCGTTAAACGTGTGTAATTAGTTGATTGTGGTCGGTTCTGGGTAATCCAGAATGGCTGGCACTTTTGTTCTCAGAGGTTGGATGCCTTGAGCATCAACAGCGCGTTCAAGGAGCCCCCTTCTGAAATGCCACCGAAAACTGACATGGAATGGGTGACTTCGTCCTGCACCATCATCAAAACCTCAGATATTCCAGAGGGATATAAGGTTGCAGTTTCTAGGAGCCCCCAACTTCACATGGATCTATTCTCGACCATCAGTTGCACGTCGCAACGCAACCTTCATAAAGCGCGCAAACTGTGATACAGACAGTAAAATCCTTACTAAAACTATCAACTACTACTACAGTGAAAATTGTATCTTTGGTAACAATATGATCTTGCCTATAAACTGGCATGCCTCATGTAACAAACTGTTATATAAGAATAGATCATTATTGTTGTTATTAAATGAAATTTCACTTAATTCGAGAATTTTCAACTGTCTCCTCATTTCTGCAGATATTCGATTTGTCCTTCCGGTTTTCAACATTGTCTGGAAATTCCGTATCTTTATTTTAATTATTGCTCCGGTTGTTAGAAAAGACATTGGCCTCGTGATTCCCTAAGAACCCCAGCTTTCACCATGAGGCGTCATAGTTTTTCAAAGCGAAGGTCGCTCAACTCCGAGGAAAGAGTTTAGATGGTTCGAATGAATTTTGGTGGGTTTTGTTCTTATAGTGTGGCCTTTTTCTACGTGTTGAGCTGTCAACCCAATGCTCAGTCCTTCTCCTTCATTAGGACTTGGGGCTGGCTGTAAGATCCATTTTGAATGTTTTGTGTGTTGGTGAAAATCCCTCCATGTATATACTTGTACTTTGCTCCTATTGATCCCCTTAGTTGTACACTGTTGTCTTTTGATTACATTTGAATTGTTAATACTTGTATTTTTTATTACAGTTTTTGTTTTTCTTGCGCATTCACTAAGTTTGTGTTTCTTCCTGAACTGCATCTGTGTTATTTTACTTGACACTTGTTCTTGGCGGTAGCCATATTGGTTTGCCCCTCCTTTTGTGTGCGTTCTATCCAGTCAGGATAGAATAACGTTCATCTGTTGTGACTGGTAATTTTCCCTCATCTTTTATCAACTTCTTTATTTATTGTAATTTAGATTTGACTGATTGAACAATTATTGGTTGAATAGCCGGGTGGTAATATTGGTTTAGGTAACGATTTACATATAAATTTATGATGAATTATAGAACCGCTATTTACCCGATTACTTGTTTTGATTTCGACGTGAAAGGGCGCGTGTCTAAAGTGTCCGGAAGGCTATTCTTCACCATCCAAACTGTAGTTTGGATCCTACACTGGCAGTAATCCTACATTGGCTACAAGAGCTATTACCCGATTGGTAAATGAGTTGAAAAAATAAAACTTATTTTGCCATGCAGAGATTACTTAAGTTGATGCCGGTGCATTACATAAGGGATAGGTGGTATACTTTATTAAGGGGTCATATTGAGTATTATTAAATCATCACAAATGACAAACAATCAATTTTGCCTCAGCTTACCATTCGATATTTTTCAGTTTTTCACGTAACGGCTAGTTCACTTTATCTCACCCGTTTTATCCATTACTGTCCGTTTTTAGTGTATTTTCTAACGGTCTTAGGCTTTTGCTAGCATCTATGATGCAGTTTACGTCAATACAGTCATGAAAAATTCATGCAAACAACCTGGATGCCGTTTTGCTGTTACATCGGGCATGCAGTGCGATAACTGTAAAGATTAGTCCCATGAAGCGTGCACAGATCTCACAGCAACTGCTTACAACAGACTTAGCATGTCGGATGATAAGTGGGTATCTGTTATATGCAACACCGATGCTGTAGTTTTGCTGAGTAACATCATTG